TGGGATGGATTAATTACTCTCTCCTTGATATGCACTTTGATATGTGGCTTGTTGCCTTGTAAATGTCTCGTATATATACACAATACCACTACATATCCCAGCCTTACTTCCTATTTCATCATGCCTTCAATATTATACTACACTCATACCCCATAGAGGAAAAAACAAACAAAAAACAAAAATCATAAGCGTATTCACCTCTTCATACATGCCATATTACCTATTTAAAAAATGAAATCTTCGTGATGACCATCTACATTAGGAATTAATTCCTATATATTTTTCAGTACTAAATGTTGTAGGATTGCACAATTAGTCAAGATGCATTTAAGTTAGCCTAAATATTCACGAATATAAAAAGAAAATTAATAAAATTTTCATGGATACGACCATATTTTTCTATTTCATTATTCTAACTTATCTATCTAACTTCCTTTTGTCTTATCAAGTACCCCTCTCACTCATTTCTTTAATTACTCTCGTGTTATTATTTCACACTCTCAATTGAAAAACTTTTTTTTTTAAGAAAATATACAATTTCCTTAATAGGTAAGTGAGAAATATACAACAAAAAAATAACCCTATATAAAGGTCATTTAGTTGAGAAAAATGGTAGCTATTGAAGAATTACAAAAAGACACTCTCATCTGAAAAATTGACCAACAACTTCACATTATATAGTTTTTTTTTTTTGACTTCACATTATATATTAGTTTATACTCATTATCATTTTGTATTATTATTTTTTAAGTGTATGCTTATTTATTACTTATTACAAATATATAATAATTGATGGGTTTGAATTTTCTAAATGGGAGATTTATTTATTTACTTTTGAGTACCTAAATGGGAGATTGATGAGCAATACTAAATAATAATAATTTATTCTTTGGCACCCAACTTTCCTATCTAACTTTATTTTGACTATTATATTGATCCCAATTATATACTTTAAAAATGACCAACGTCTTCAAATTATTATTGGTCCGTTCGTTATCGTTTCCATATGCTTATTATTCATTGGATGAAATAGGTATAATTTATGAGAAATACTTGGATATAATATTAATTTATTTCACCAATCATTGCTATCTAACCTTGTTTTGTCTTATTAGCTTGTCCATCTATTTTAGGGTGGGTAAGAAAGATTTAAGGGGGAGAGATTCAATTTTTAATATGAAATTTAGAATATGCTAATTAAGAACCATTAAATATATACGAATCAACCTTAGCATAGTTCGATTATTTGATACGTCTATCTTCCATCAAAAGGTAAAATAGAAAGATCATATGGTACTAGCACCACACATATTCCGATGCTTAAGTCAGATTCAGAGTCTTTTGTGAAACATAACGAAGAGTAGAGTTCTTGTAGCGTATTTTGATGATGAGAATCAATAAGATATCTTTTCTAAATACAAAAAGAAAAAAAAAAGACTTAAATCCATCGGTATAAGAAATTCAAATCAAAGAAAATAGATTTTACTTTGAATAACAGTACTTAAAAAATGACCATTAACATGTCAAAATGATCCTCCTACTATGTGTATGAACAGTGTAAATGGTGATGACAATCTACCCAAAATAGGATAGTTCCTTTTTTTATATATATATAATCC